CGTACTGCCGTCTGGTGGTCGTCTATTGGGGTCTTTTGGAGGAAGATTCACAGTCTTCCTCACCGGGTACCTTCACCTTTGGCCCAGAATGTTGAGTTGGCAGAGCTTCAGACTGCGAGGTCGGTTTCAACCAGATGGTCTAACAATAGGGGTACAGTGTCTTTGCCAAACATTCCACTATACTTGCAACAGTATCTATACTATCAGAGTATTAGCTACAATAGTCTTGTCTTTCATTGGCTATTACACCAGCTGTGTGCGATAATTATTAAGTTCCCGCTGACTTAACATTTCGATGTTTACATGTCTCCGGTCAGCTAGCCAGGCTTCCACATGAGAGGGATATAAAGAGGTAGAGTTTTACCTTCTGATGCTAGATCAGTGGTCGTAGAGTCCTCAACCCAACAGAGGTGACAGGAAGGTGCCTCTAATCACAGCAAGCTTTCACAGGTATTGTTAACATGATTGTCTGAACTAGCAGTTACTGCTGATGCCCTGATGCTCTGGTTTGCTAACATGTGAAATGGCTGGCACACTGATTGCCTTGCTTTAACTGTCCTTGTTTAGGTTCGTGCACATTTAGATCATCTCAATCTAAACTTTATATACTCTTACTAAAAACTGCTTCCAATACTATATCTTGCTCCCAAGTATCACAGTACATTTCAAATTGATTAAAAGCTGGATAGCGGTACATAAATAGTTAGCCATTAAGAATATTCTTCTAGTGAGGATGTTTCTAGGGATGTTCTCCCATTGAATATTCTTACCCTAATGTTTCAATATCTTTTATTAATGAATAATACAATAATGCATAGCACTTTCAGAGGGTGCAGGATCCAAAAGCTGAAGCTAAAAAAATTCATGCCACAAATGTCTTTCCGAACTATGTACTATTTAACTGGAAGTCATCATTCTGTTCTGGATTAGGTGTTGAAGCTTGTCTGCGCTGTAGAGGAGCTCCCTTTAGATGGCTCCCTATAGATAGATCTATCTGGTCTTGGCCCATCTACTACTTAAAAATACAAAAGTTCAGTATGAATTTTTGACACAGATTTATAGAATCATAGAATCATTAAGGTTGGAAGAGACCTCCAAGATCATCGAGTCCAACCGTCAACCCAACACCACCATGCCTACTAAACCATGTCCCTAAGCACCTCATCTACCCGTCTTTTAAATACTTCCAGGGATGGTGACTCAACCACTTCCCTGGGCAGCCT